CCCTCCTTCTGCCTTGGGTATAATTCCAAGTTGTACTACTTTGTTAATAATGCTTTTTTAAATTTTTGTATTACTTTTTAGTAACACCTTTTTTTTAACTAACCATTTATTTACTCTTTCTGCCTATTACATAATTTATTTCAGCCACTTGTCTTTATGCTGTTTCATTAACATCCTATTTTTCTGGGTGTCTTACATATTAACGCAACCCTTGTCAATACTTACTAATCTTCACCCCCCCCCCCTTAGAAAACCAAACAAACAAGTAAATTGAGAGAAATACGAATAATTGCATATAACACCCTGACATTCTCTGAGTGGAACATAGAGTTTCAAGCTTTTGAAGTTCGACAGCGGTGGTGCTGTTTTCTTGAGGGTTGAGGTTGCTAACCACCCTACGCACGCTGAATATCGGTTAGTCAACTAGGCGGGGTTTAGGCGTACATCAGCCTGGAATGGAATCCGGATCAAGAGCACGGCTAACGAGCATACTGACTTACGAATATAAGCATAGTCGAATAGATTGTTAGTGCTGAAATTTTATTCTTAGAATACTGATGAAAAAGAGGAAGGGAAATCCCTGATGTTTTGACATCTCAAGGAAGTTAGCCAGTCGACATCCAGTCATCAGATAACGTATACAGACGTTAATTCCATGAAGAAGAAAGAACAGGCTTCCATGAGAGGTCACAAAGCATCAAAAATCTACTTCTCCATCTTGTTATACCATTTTACTACTGCTAACAAAGATGATATATGCATAAAAAATTTCAAATAGTTTAGAATGCAAGCTAAATGGATGATTAATGGGTGGGTGATGACTGATGATAACTTCAACTGAACTGTAATGTGCAAATGACACAACTTGAATAGGTATGCGCGTATATGAGATACTGTGATAACCATGATACTACTGCGAACAAACAAGTTATCATTCCTACACCACAAGAGGATAATGACGAACTTTAATAACCTTGATTGAATAGTTACATCTTATAACAAAAAGGCAGTAGTCGTCATTTATTATCACGTAAAAAAGTGTTGAATGCGAAATAAAACTGAGAAGTCGGAGATATTGATTTATTATTATTATTACTGTTTCCTTTAACTCCTAGAGGAACATAGGGCTTCAGCCGTGCGTCTCCATTGCGTTCGGTTCTCTGCTAGAGTTTTCACCTGGCTCCAAGTCTGCCCACACACTTTCATCTCCTCTTCACATGACCTCCTCCAAGTCACCCTTGCACTGACGACCAACTCGCCGCTTCCCTTTCGGGTTCCACTCGAGCAATGGCTTGTCTAGTGATGTCACTTGATGGTTTCCTCAGAGTATGGCCAATCCATCTCCATTTCTTCCTGCCTATTTGTTTCACAATCGGTACCTCCTGTGTTGGTTCGCTCATTGCCAGAGATCTCTGTTGCTGATCTTTTCTGGCTAGCCATCTGATCTTGAGTATTGAGCGAAGACAACTGTTAATGAAGGTCTGTAGTTTGCTTGAGATGCTCTTTATGACGCGCAGTGCAAGTCTCTGATCCGTATAGTAGCACTGACTGACTTCACATTGGAGTTGAAAATCCGGATCTTATTTTTGATGCTGAGTGCTGTTGATTTAATTCTATATAATTTTTCTTTTTAATTATAGCTTTACAATCCTTTCCACCACATACACCCGGATTATGAAGATTCTTGTGGGCTTTAACTCGCTTCTTTAGCTAGGGTGAGCCAGTCAGTTACTTCAACAAGGTATTTATATCATTCCAGATGTTATGTACCACCTTGGTATCCGCCAAAGAGAGACAATGGAGCTTTGAGTTACCTCAAGGTATCAACGAGATAATCTTTGTTTGACAGGAGTAATAAACCAGCACCCATATTGATACGAACGAGAAAAATCACTTTTAAAGTGTAGACAAGTAGACTTCGATAAGCACGGGGTAGTCATTGTGCCCTATATGCATTGATGGTGTTCTCGTGACATATTGTTGCTGGATCCTCCAAGAACCTAATGGTTGTGTCCAGAGTTCGATGCATGCACCCCGCTCTGATAAGGTCGCCCTCATAAACAACCTGGTATAGTCAAGGGTGGATAGACTTAGGTCTTCTTCTCGAAAGGCTCTCATCATGTGACCACGAGTTCGTAGCCTCTGCAGTGTAAGTTCTATTCACTGCCTTCGCGCGGCAGGAGTGTCTCTCACAGTAGTGAAACGGCGAATGCAAACATCTTGCGCTTACAACCAGAATAGTCGATATCCAGATTTACCTAGGTGAGTTGAAAAACCCTAATTCGAAACACTTATGGTGTACATGGATTACAGAGTCCAAAAGAATTAAATGGCTTATAAACGTGGTTCGATCACCAGAAACAATATGAACACAACTCTGATTGGACACTTGTAACTAGTGCGATGTGTCTAGTCCTTACTTCGGTGCAGATTGAATCATATCAGTCAGGTTTGCAATGTGGCCACCATTCTAGGTAGCTCGCCATCACGGTGCACATTGATTTGATGATGTTAATTGGTTGGAGGAAATCGGCAGGAAGCCTCACCTGGCCTAGGTGTCATGCTAGTTGGCCAATTAAAGTATCTACTACAGTCCTACAGGAGGCCAATCGCGAGCCCGAATAGCTCCTCAGTGGTAACGTCTCTGACTGAAGGCGGCACTGGGTGACGCGGGTTCGAATCTCAGAAGGAACATAAGTCACTTCAAGGTTGCAGATACGCCTTACTGACTAACGAACGACTGGCAACTAGCACGAAGCCTAGATCAGGTAAGGCTTTCAGCCGATTGCCTCCAACCAATTAATATCACGAACACAACTCCTTAAGCTGTTTCACTGCCTTGTGGATTAGAATTCAAGTCAAAAGCTCGTGGAGAGAGCGGCCTTCTAAGACAACCATCTGATTTGGTCTGAACGTCTGGACAGCATCCCATTTCTCGCACAAACTATGGGATTTTGCATGGTGCATTTCTTGATGACCATAATGTACTAAGTTTGTGTGTTTTAATAAATCATAAATTGCATGGAAGATTTCATCATGAGCTGACATCAGTTAGACAACTACTGAAAAACCTGGGAGTACTGGACAGCTGTCTCGTCCCAGTTTGGGACTCTTCATCAGTACGCACCCACCCCACTGGGGTTCGAACCCAGCACCTTCTGGTTACAAGGCTAGCGAGCTCGTAGACAATTAAGCCACTGGGACCCGATCCAATGGTCGATGAATTCTAACTCCTCCCAATTCACGACATGGTGCGACCATTTCGCAATGTCTTCTTCGATGACTTATTGCCTCATCTTCGACCTGCTGTACTCTACTGATCACGGCTTCCCACTAGAACACCAGGTTAGCTGTCTGAAATAGGCTAATCGCTAGTGAGCATCATCTATCCACCACTCCCAGGTTTTCCAGTGGTTTCTTAACTGATATCAGCTCATGATGAAATCCTCCATGCAATCAAACAAAATCCCTACAAAACCTATACTTGAAAATCATAAATTGATAAACAAAGAAGCACTATTATAATTCTGCTGACTCAATGATAATGGTAACAAGATGTTTACAAAAACTGACATCCATTGTTTTGATTTACATTTTAGACATTTGCACCTGACAGGTGTGAACACACCGATGATCTTTGAAAGCTTAGTTAGAGCAAGCCAAGGAAACACGACAAATTACACTATATTCATAAAAAAGCGGGGTCTGACTGAGTGACTGGTTTCAACACAGATCAACAACTTTGCACAGATGTGCAGCAGTTCCAGTTGCCAAACTCTCTCCATGTAGCACACAAAGCAAGAGAAGAGAGTAAGGCAAGTTTCAAAAGACAGGTAATAAACGGAAGTGTCAGTGAGGGGAAAAGAACAGTGATATGGAAGAACAATAAACTTGGATTGGATATGATAAATCATAATGAGTCAATGCATCTCCACCAGCCATTGAGAACGATTTTGAGCTACATCACCGATTGTCTCCAGCCATCACTGCTTCCCACCATCCCGAGGAACCCAACCAGTCAGTCAGTCTACACCTCCCTACATGGCTGGTGCAGACTAACCGTTATGGATTTCATTGACTAATGAAGCCGTGTCTTCATTTGACCACCACTAGCCAACTCTTTTCCAACCTAATCATCCCATGTCAGCTAACATTGCCCGTCGTCGACGAAGGCGATGGCTAGACATGCATGCGTAACACATATCCTAACCATATCAATCAATGTAACTTTACCACGTACCTCGTCAATTGATTTCCCCTTCTTATCTAAAACTGGACGTCTAATTTCAATATTGCTCATCCTATTACACCTGACACTTAACACCTAACACAGGAGATAAAAAGCAGGCACCTATGATCAAAAACAGCTAGCCAGCCTTTTCATGTCTTCCACTTTCAGTAGCCATGTCTTCTTCACAGCTATAAAGGAGGACGGAGAGAACTGCTGCTGAGCACGACACACGTCCTTTGGTCGACAGCCAGCCAGTCAGCCGGATATCACGTCTACTAAGTCAGAAATGGAGTAATTTGGCACATCCCAAACGAGCCTTCTGTATCAGTGCTGTGATTTCGTCAGCGACTAACCAGTTGGTGTTGGCTGATGTGACTTCCCAAGTAGGTGAAGTGGTCAACACGCTCTACCAATTCACATCATTACTACGAGTCAATGTAGTTTAGTCCTGTAACATCATCTTACACTATACGGGAGCGACATCTGGTTAGTCTAAGGTTAAGTTAGGGAAAGATTAAGGGGCTAGGGGTAGGTTATGGGGGTAATAGTGCTGGTTAGGGTTATGGTTGAGTCAGGGATCCAAATTAGCTTCTTAGAACAATCGCTCGTTTTAAAGTCATCGGTGAGCTAGCATGTGTTAGGCGTCTGTATATCCTTTAACTTGGCTAGACATTCTTCTACAAATCAACATATATATAAACACACACACGTCTCTATATCGCGAATAATTTATGCAATTGCAACTCAAAATTTTTTAAACACCACCTACCAATTGGATAGCAATCATGAGGACTGTTTTCAGGGAGAATTGACGTTTACACGATTCAAATAAATCTTCCAATGATGGACCAAGCAATTCCATAACAAGTGCATTATGCCGACCAACTGGTCCAAAATAATAAACCATAGGGAAGCCAACTACACCACCACTGAGCAATAAACGATAGAATCGATATTCTAAATGCAACTGGGGAGCACGTGTTTTCATTGGTTCCAATTTAATAGCAACATATTCATTGGTATATAAATTACGACCTGAATAATAGTATAAAGTGGAAAACAAAAAATATAACAAATATCAAAGAATAGTAGTCAAACCTGTACCTTAACTTCCTTCATCGACTTCGAAAAGGCCTTCACCAGGCAGCACAGCGTTGACCGGGAAGTAATTTGGAAACTGCTTTAACGCTACGGTGTGCAGTGCCTCAAATATTTATCAACCTCATTCAACAGCTGACTGGCTCTATATGGCAATGCCTGCCACGTGTCAGGTGATCCACAAGAGGAAACTCAGCGAGGCATCTGAAGTGGAGGCGACAGGAGTAAGACAAGCTGGCTGCCTATTTCACCGACGATGATATTCTTAATTGTGGTGGACTAGATTATCCGGAAGACTGTGCATTGGGAGTGAGAAGACAGGAATGCTCTGAACTGACTGACAGGAAGACTAAAGAAGATCTGGATTTTACAGATGATATATGTCTAGTGGCACAAAAACTCGAAGACTTGCAGGCGAAAACCAACAAACGGGATGAAGAGGCCGGCAGCGAAGACAGGACTCCAAGCGAACATAGAAAAGAAGCACGTAATGAAGAAAACCAACCAACAGCAACAGCAACCAGCACCAATCACTATCAACGGCAGAAACTTGAAAGAGGTCACTTCCTTCACTTGTCTAGGAAGCCCGGTTTCAACCACAGGCAGCCGGAACGGATGAAGATGTCAAAGACAACCGGACAGCCCAAGTCGGAAAGGCAAGATACACCCTCATCAATCCGAAACCATTTTGGAAATCTTCTGCACTCACTCAGCCAGCATAAAGAACAAGATTCGGATTCTGTTCAACACAAATGTGAAGTCAGTCAGTCAGTTCTTCCATATGGGTCAGAACCTTGCACCACGTGTCATCTAAAGGATTTTCAACAAGTTACAGACTTTTATCAACAGTTGCCCACTTGGCTGGCTCCAAACTGAAGATAAAAATGGCCAGCCGGCTGGCAAGAAAGGATTAGCAACAAGAAACTCTTGCTGGCAACAAACCAACCAAGAACCGATTGCTCAACGGATATGTAGGAGAAAATGGAAATGGATTGACCGAGCATACATTGATCGAATGACATTGAGCGCAATGCAGGCCAATACTCAAGTGGAATCCCAATGGGAAGCGACGAGTGGGTCGTCAGTGAGACGGTGATATGGAGAAGATCATGTGGAGAGGAGGAGATGAGAGATTATGGGGAGTCGTGTGGCTGGCGAGCTGAAGAGGACAACAGAATATAGAACAAAGTAGAGATAAGTGGGCGAAGCCCTATATTCCACTGGGAAACCAAGGGAATAATAATAATTTCATCTATAAAAATACTTTTCTTTCATTCCTTGCGTTTTCAGTGGAATATGGGGCCTTATACCCTTTTCGCGGGGTGGTTTTCACGAAGTATGGTCGATAGCGCTACACCCAACCTTTCCCCTTTTCCGTGCTAGGTGAAGTTTAGAAGTGCGTCGACCGGGAACCGAACCCGGACCATATGCGCCACAGGTGAACATTTTAGCATTGGACTACGGATGCGCATAAAAGGAATTATAGATCTTAAATGCGTAGAGCATTGAAACTTCCGAGAAGAAAAATCCACCACTCAGTTTGCACATTTACACTGTAGTCAGAATGCAACGGCGGATAAGTCTCTTTCAAGTTTGATCGCAGACTGATATCAGTTAGAGAGCCATTGGAAACCACAGAGTACTCGACGACTGTTTGGTCCTAGCATCGGACGCTTCGGCAGTGCGCATCCAGGACTCTCAGGTCGAGAGGCGAGCTTGTTGACCATTCAGTTACTGGGATGGAATCCAATGACTAACCCATGAACTCTAACTTCGCGAGTTTTAGCGCCACTGATAACCAATATCACCGGTGTGTATTTGTCTTCACATCTTACAACCGGACCCCAATGGTCACACGCAATACGGAAGCAGAGAATATACTACCATATTCCAATATGAACGAGATGGAGACAATCGTATGGTGAAAATATGAAAGATGATAAGAAGTAAGTAAATCTGAACTATTTCAATACAAGTTTTTGACGAATAAATCTTAACATCCATGTCAACTGTTTTAAGCATAATGCCGTGCCAATTCTTGCATTGAAAAATTTGCAACAATCTTATGCATATTAAGTAAAGGAAAGCATTTACGCAACACTATGGATGTATAGAGAGTAGCAAAATAAAGTATAATACTAGTTATGAATTGATAAGTCATACTGAAAACTACTTTAATTTACTTAAGCACAAACTCGAAGACTCACAGGCTAAAAATCCACAAGTTGGTATAAGACAGAGGTGATGAAGGCAATGACATAACCAACAACGACAAGTACCAATCGTAATCAACGGAAGAAGTCTACGGGAAGTCACTTCTTTCATTTTTATCCAGAAAGCATCGTGTTTCAACTAAAAGCAGGCGGCACGGATGAAGTTGTTAAAGCCATCCATCCAGGTTTCAGAAGGCAAAGTAGATTTTCATTAATCTTAAATCAGCGTGGAAATCTACTGCACTTAGCACAAGGAACAAAATTTGGACGTTCAACACTAATGTTAACTCAGTGCTTCTATCTATATGGTTCAGAAACTTGGCGCGTCACCAAAATTATTTCCAACAGCTGTCTTCACTCGATACTGCAAGCAGAATGGCTTGAAAGGATTAGCAAAAAGAAGCTTGCAACGAATCAACCAAGAACCTACTACTGAATATATATGCTGAAGAAAATGGAGACGGATCGAACCGTTGAGTGACATTACACACTTGGTCATCGCTCCAGTGGAAGCTGAAAGGGAAACGACAAGTTCACCATCCGGCGGAGATATGGAGATCGTGTGAGGAGTAAATGGAAGCTTATGGGCAGTTGTAGAATCAGCTAGACAAGACTGAAAAGAACAAGATGAAGTGAAGATGTGCTGCTGACGCCCTAGAGGAACCTAAGGGAATAATAATAGTACTACTGACTAGGTAAATATTTAATCCTCACTGCGTTTGTTAAACCATCATCATATGAGGAATGAGGCAGTTAAGCTTAGTCCTACGTAGAACAGGTAAAGTAATACTATTTAAAAACCTAACGAAGTTAGGTTTAGTTGTTTGCTATTTCAGACGTAAAACAAGCTTCGTACACAAGGTCAGAATTGAAGAACTGATGCTTAAGTCGAATTCATTCTGTAGTAGCATGATGGATAACTATAGCTCAGCAACATCCCAAGGGAAATGCTCCTTAAAATGTTCTCTCTAACGCCTCATTCATCTGTTGTACGAGCTTACTACAGATTTCCCTCCCCCCTCTCCGAATATATCTCTAGTTCATTTCCCCAAATTATTTCTCTAATATGAATGTTTCAAAGGGTTTTACGTCAAACAATTCTGCATAAAACTCATTCTTCATTACTTTGCTCGAATTGCATTCAGTGATGTGTAGGCGGAAACTGTGAACAGGGGTCAATAAGTACCCTGACCTCTTTATTTCTATATAACCATAAACAACTGTCTACTGGAACCCAGTTGAGAAACAAACGCCTTCCTGTAGAACCTAGGAGTATTCCAAATCTACGGGAATTATCCAGTAAATCCTCTGGACATACGTAGGTACGGTGAATGATGCTGATTCTCTATATGAGTCACGTGGATTCACCGGCATTGCCAAACTTCAGTCCAGTATACATACATCCAAGAGGTGCAACAGTCGAGGTGACAAGTTGTCGGTGAACCAAATCGGCTGTCCTATTTGAACACTGAATGCTTCAAGGTGAAGTCAACAGGGTAGATTTAAGAAAAAACACTGTATTGCTTTAACGTTATAGAGTAGAAAGAATTTGAAGTAAATGTTCAGGACAGAATTGTAATGCGAGAAGATAGTGAAGTCCAAGCAAGAGACAAATATAAAGAGAACAAGTGCTGAGCAGCAAATGTTTTGTGTTGTGATGGAATTGAATGGGTCGTTAGTACCCCGTAGATCCACATATAAATTGATTTCTTTTCAGAGTTTTCGGAAGATAAAAACGCTAGTCGCATACAGCCTGTATACAAATATCAAAATTTATAGAGTTTGGTCTATACGGAAAATTTTTGTATCGTGGGATGCATAATTTGTAAAGCCAGATCTATTTTCAAACCTCTTCTTTCCAGACTGCGAAGATATAGTACAGTTAACTTAAACGAATACAAGACATGTGAAAGACCAACACCCATACTCGACTTCCAATGAACTACTGTCACAACGGCATAACTCATTTCCCCTCATAATTAATTTTATATCATACCTTAAAAAACCAACTAGCTGTAAATATAACTAAACAGGTGACTGGGTGTGTAAGACCAACGTTAAGTGTGAAAGCTAGCATTAAATATTGATCAAATGACGTTTTATTTGTCAAAGTTTACAAGGATTGTGCAATTACAAAAGCCACTGACGAGACTCCTAGTTTACATGAAGCAAAAACAAACAATGGTAAACGTAAATAATTCTTCACAATAAATACATAATAAAACTAAAAAAATACTAACCTAGACGAAGCTCTCCAAAATTTCCACAACCAATCTTTTTGCCAACTCGAAAATTTGGACCAACGAGTAGTGTATTTCCTTCCCGTGAAGAACGTGGTGCATCTTGCTGCATATTATTCTGTTTTCCTGAATGCTGACGTTCGTCCTTCTTTTGAGAAGGTGTACCAGACCCACGATGACCTCGATTACTTGTAGAGGTCTGGTTGGTTTGCTGGGCTAACATTCCACACAAATAGTCAGTGTGCAGATCGTATGCATTTGAATAAAGATAAGCTAATCATGCTTTTTAACAAACACCGAGTGAAAAACTGAAACAAAAAGAATAATGACAGTAAGAAATTAAAAAGATATAAAAAACATCTTCACAAGATTGGTGCTGTGTAAAAACCTAGATCACAAGCTATGACCAATTAGCAAAATAAAAATGAAATGATATTTACTTGCTGGGATAAGAATTGTTTATGACATTACTAGAACTGAAAACGCAACCGACTCACTCCTGCTTTAATTTTTACTCCTACTCCACGAAATGAAACCTAATTGCCAGGTAGTGTTGCTAGCACTCAAATCATGGATACTTCATTAACCGATAGAGAAACCCGTATCTAGCAGTTCAATGAATAGCATGATATCTTTTACTATCCCTCTACGTCTCGAGTGAAATGAAAGGCTTCAGGCTTGAAGTCCTTAGGTTTCCGCAGCCTTCCTATTTTTGCGACGTAGATTTGCTAGCCTGATGACTAGCCTTCCCTCTTTCGAGAGCTTAATGCAGGCTGAGTGAGGCTCACAGGTGAGTCAGTCACAAATCGAACCCCGAGCAGTCAACCACTGACGTACACAGTATGTATATGTACTACTAAAATAGTTGAAATACTTCAAATACGAATTTAGCCACCTTCAACAATCGGGATTGCTCACAAAGGTTATACGGTAGAAATTCAAGGGTCGCAATAAGATGAAAGGACAATTTATTTATATATTAAGTATTTATGATCTACAATCCGCCAACTAGATATATAAGGTCGTAGAAATAAAAGTACTGAAACAACTAAGTTGCACCATTTGTAATTCATAGTGACTGTAGACATACTAACAAAAGGCTATTGATTTGTAACAGCCAGTCAACATACATCAAAGTGGAAGTTACCAAAAGGAGTGACAAGAGATGAGAATAACCATGTCAACAAATGTCAAAAATACTGTGAGATACAACAAAGGTAGGGGGAATAATGACATTACTATTCAGCTGAAGTTATACCAGAAAGGTATGTGCACCACCAAAACGGATTCTAAGCTCCATTTCCCCCCACCACCTTCTCATCATCCAATGGGATTATTTTGAGAATTGCAAGTACAGTACCGAGATTCCCCTACTTCCCGTTGCTCAGGATGAAAGTGAAATGAGACTGACTCGTGACCTGTTACCTGGAAACTGAGCTCTTAGGCCAATGAGTCATATTAGCTGGAATGGATGGTAGCTCAATACGTGCAACACACAGAGTAACCACCCCAATCAACGAATTGAGGAAACCCTATTAGGTTATTCACATTTCCCAAACTACGATTGTAAACTGACTACATGGTGGTTTCACTACATGCGAACTTTCAGATCTCCTGTAATGTGTAATGTTTCAAAATCACATGGTGAAACAAAGCGAAATGGTGAGCACTACACTGTTCCCAACAAAGTAAGCACTCATACGACAAACACCACAAGTTGGTGCTAAATGGCCCCTTTAGATCCTTGTTAAACTTTCGCCAGTAACTAATTCACACTATCCACTATCATGTGAAGCATCTTTGTGGACTAATTCTAACGTAACAGTCTGAATCAGAAAATAACAAACCAAAAATTGAAAGCGTACAAATATAAAGAGGCGCAATTTGAAGACAACTAGTCATAAAAAATGTAAATCGACACCTCATGATTCCTGCAGCTTAAAAAAAATAAATAAATCGGTAGTGGTTCTACACTGAACTGAAATATCAGTATACAACTTAGCACAAAAGTGGATCAGTTCAAGTTGACACAATACTTGAAGGCATATATAAAAGGTAGGGGAAAATACTATGAAACTACAACAAACGAAAGTATACGGCAGAAAAAAATTCGATGAAGACTACACAGTAATCTGGGAGATCTCACAGGGTGAATACACCCGTGCCATTGCAAGCAACTCAGAGCTACGATACCTTAAGAAAGATGCAAAGACACAAATTGTAACACACCTCAAGGATGATTAGTACCAAGCACTGATTGACTAACAGAGTTCAAAAGCAATTACAAGTCAGAAATGAGAAGTGGAATTCAAAATGACCTAATCAACAGGTGATGACGCCTATCCTAACCCATATTAGACAGAAGAAATGCTTAAGATCATCTGTATGATGCAGGCTCTTATTTACTCAGCAACAAACCATACTTTTTCGCTTGTAACACCATCCAGTTGCTCAAGTGAAAGTAAATTAAGTGGAGTTTGCATCCTGATTAGAAGGCAAGCGCTGAAGTTAATTTACATTTAAATCATATTAAAATCAATAGTAAGAGAACACAGGGAAGAAGTATTATACGACTCATATTTCCTGTATTAACATTAGTTCTCATAAATACACAATGTATTACACATACGCCAGAAATATCTGATTTCACTGCTGATTTGCAGGTGTAAATTTAGTTTACCAGATATTTCGTTTCCCAAAATAAAGTATAAATACTAACGCAGTAAAATTCCACCAATAAACACCAGGTTATTCTTAGACTTAAGTGAGAATGAAGCAGAAGACGTGTTTCCTGCTAGACTAGTATTTCTATGAATGCAGTGAATCACACTGATTCAGTGTGCAGACTGAATCCTATCAATCAGGTTTGCAATGTGACCACTATTCTAGGTAGCTCCCCATCACGATGCACATTGATTTGATGACATTAGATGGTTGGAGGCAATCGGAAGGAAGCCTTGCCAGGACCTAGGTTTCGTGCTAGCTGGGACTCACCAGTCAGTTAGCAAGGCGTATCTACAACCTAGAAGGAACTCATGTCCCTTCTGAGATTCGAACCCGCGTCACCCAGTGCTGCAGTTACAGACGTTACCACTGAGCCCGAATATATATATATATATACATATATCAATGAAGCGATAGGCTAATAGTGAACAGGAAATATGTAATGCGTTGGATTTTTCAGTAATATAGCGATGAAAATTACTGACTTAAGCACTAGATACGTAACTAAGACGACAACTGTGCCCGTGGAGTCAACGTGTTGATTAAACATCTCATTTCAAATTTCTTACCAATTACAATGGGTTACTTCATTGTTGGTTGCTGCAATGCTTCAATGCATTAAATGAATGATATTCACCGCTTAGAAATAGCAGCAATACTGTGCGCAACACACACTAAGATAACAGTTTGGTCTTAATACAATCTGTCCACATTAGTTCTCATCAATATTGAGAAACAAAAGGAAAAGTACTGACGTGATAGACACTCTGCTGATAAAATACCGCCAGGTACACTCAATAACCTCAAGTAAGAAAGATAAATAGTATGCTGACTGATGTCCGTCTCCATTACTCGCTCTAATGACGAATACCAAATGACTTTCAATGAAAAGCACCAACACGGAAACAATGCATCTGAGGCTTAATGTGGGGGTGAAAATGCAATCACCCAGGCCTGCTTTTCAATCTTAATATTGATTGTAACAAGGTTCTAAGAGCTAATGCTTGCCCATCGCACAGAAACTAACCCAAATCTTAATTCAGAGTGCAAACCATTGACTAAGTAGTGCTACCGATGTAAGTGTTTCCGATACTTAATGGCTGTTTAGGATCTTACTCATTACTGCATTTTCAACAGGGGAGCTGATACCTACTAACTTAAAGTATGCTCCCAATTTATAATCGCCGATCATGCAGTAAAAAACCACAAATTCCAAATAGTAACGGTACTGCTAATCAAACACTCCAGGCTCGCTATATTTTGCCATGGAGACTTAGTCCAAACCAAGTAACTGTCCCCTACTCACTATTAGATTAAGAATGATTACGTCTGGACAGTCAAATACTAAACACTTGCCTCAGTTGCACGTCTGGAAGTACCAGCAGAATAATTAAGAGATTCCTGATACTCTATGTAAAAACTATGATACACTGGTTATCAATATAATACGAAACCAAATTCTATCGATGAAGTGAAAAACCAACCTACCCGCCCTATCGTAAATAGCTCGAAAACCTTTCTCAATTCAACATTGAAGGACTGTAAATTAATGTTCAGATGTAGAATCCAAAAGTTTGCGACTAATATAATTTGAAGACAACACAAGAAGATTCTGAGGTTGTAAATAAACAGAAACTTACTTTTTCCATCGGTAAGTAAACCGAGAGAATTTTACACGCTCTTGCCTAATTTCGACTTTTCTCTATAGGTCAAGTCTATAGATTGACTTCAAATCAGATTATTCCGGTCTAAGTTAGTCTTATTTTTCTTTTTGAGTCTATTTGCTCATAGGAAAGATTTATAGTTATTACATATCCATTTTTGTACACTCACTGGTATTTTGCCACCGATTTATATAAAAATTGTTCCTGAAGTCATACTTGAATCTTCTAGTCCTAGTTCACTCTGAAAGATATCCCTTTCAAAAGGAACCCCTTTGGAAGAGTTATGTGCCAGTTTCCAGTTGAAGAAAGCATGTACAGTGATAGCTGCAAGAGATGGTTTCACAGCATGTGCACAAACCTAACTCCTGCAGCAAACATGCGCTGCTGCAAACCTCTGGCAAAATGACTATGCAGTGACTGCTACAGTACAACTAAGTCCCGCATTACGGAGGCTATTGGCACGCTCAGTGAGGCACTAAAGCTTTTGACCTGCAGAGGTCCTTCACCACAGGAGAAGAGCGAGTACAGCTCAAACACCGACGGCCTGGCTAGCGTCATCGACAAGATAATACACGTTCTTGACACATCTCTGTTAGGAAGTGAGTGTCCTTCAGCACAGAAGAGCACCCACTATAGCTCAGACATCTGTGCTGCCCATAAAACATCCGATAAGCCCTTCAGTGCCAGTATTAAAAAGGTTAGCATAAGGAGAAGGCCTACCAGTGGTCAAAAACCTCTAGCTAAAGTCGCACAGGTGGATAGCAGGCAGATACAATCAATAGCACAGCGAGAAGGGCACCAACGAATGGCGTAATGTAGTCTTCTGAGAAGAAGG